ATTATAAATTATCAAAATTTGATTTTACTATTATTTGAATTTTAGTTTAAAATAAAAACTTATGTTATAATTTTTATTTAAATATATATTACGATATACATTTTTAATAAAAATATTATAGATTATAATAAAAAAAATAAGTTTTTTGAAATATAATCATTAATAACTAATTAATTAAATCTAAACCTGCGTTTACTACTATTTTGTTTGTATCTGATTTTAAATTTTCAAAATTAAAAAAGTTAAATCATATTATCCTGCTGTTTAGTAACTGATGGTATTATTATCATTGGGTCCAGTTATGTTAAAACTGGAACTGGCTCAAATTTTTATGAGAGAATTTAAAAAAAGACAATTTTTAAAAAATGAACTGTTTTTTCTTATAGAAATTTTAAATATATATATATAATAATTATTATTAATATTTTAAATTACGATTTAATATAATATTAAACTCAATTTTTTCTTAAAAAAATTAGTTCTATGAAAGTGTGACCATGTACAAAAATTTATAATTAATTACATGAAAAAAAAAATTGAATAAATATTTTAATGATTTATATATTTGTTGGGTAATTTTATTAAATAAAAATAATTTCAATTTTTTTTATATATAATAGTCATATATTATCAAAACAAATTAATAAATCAACTAGTAAAATGGATGGATCATAAATCAGATAATCTTGATAAGAAAATTGAGTTGTTTCTTTGAAACCAAAAAAAAAAAAAGAGTAAGTGGAAAATGCTTTACATGTGATCCTGTTGCATTAATGATTTTATAATTATGATTTGCATGAGATTTAAAAAAATTAATTATTTAATTTTTTTTATTTACTTACCATGTATACGTTACGTTTTCATTCATATAAATCATATTATCCTGCTCTTTATTATTTTCACCAGAGTTCTTAGAATCGCGTCGATAAGCCACTGCGACTATAGCTAATTTGTAAGTAATCTATTCTCGTCTTCTCCCTTTTTTCTTCTTCAATCATGTTCGTTAATTTTCGTTTGGTAAACGAGATCTTTCTTCTAAGTTTTCTATCGGAGTTTTTGGGTCTCAATTTTTCGATTCAATTCACGGGGGGAAAAAAAAACCCTTTTTTTGGTGGGGCATGTATTTGTCTGCAAATCTAAGTCTCTCTCAAATCTTTTAGTTGCAGTCTCAATAAGTATCCATGAAAAGTGAATTAGATGAAAAAATCGTTTTTTATTAGATTTTTTTTCTACCGAAATCTCTCCGATAAAAATTGTCGGAGATCTTTGTATAGATGAAGGGAGTACTCGACATAAAAAGATGTCCTTTTTTGAAATAATTTGAATTTAGTTCATGAATCTCTTTAATATATTTATATATATGACCTAAATTTTTTATTAAAGTTATTGTTCTCTTGTTATAAACTATCTAGATAATTGGATATACATATTTATTTGAATTAAATTTTTTTAATTTTATAATTATTGTTCTCTTGGAGTAGATAGAATATAAATTTTTGTATCTAACTCTTTTAAACAATCAAAAAAATTTATTAATCATTCAAATATCTCTTTTTTCCTACTCTATTCGTCCTATTTATTTACACTATTAATTTAAAATTCAATTAATTATGATTACAAATAAAAATATCTACTCGTTATAATTCATTAGACTTCATTTTACATCTACATATTTTATCGAATACTTTTTACTTTTATAAAAATAAAAAAAAAAATAGTTTTTAATTATTTTAATATTATATATATTCATGAATTTTTAAATGTTGTCCTTAGTCTTATCAA